TCGTGCTCAGCTCCCCGAGGACTCACGGCGGTTTGACTCTATCGATTCCGCGTACAAGGACCTCATGAAGGAAGCATCTAAGACCCCGAATTGCGTCGAAGCATGTACAAAAGAAGGTCTCTTCGAGAAGCTTGAAAATCTGCAGGGTCAGTTGGCTCTGTGCGAAAAATCTTTGGCGGAATATCTCGAAACCAAGCGACTCGCCTTTCCCCGTTTCTACTTTGTGTCGGCATCGGACTTGTTGGACATCTTGGCGAAGGGCAATATGCCACAAGCGGTGGCGGTTCACCTTGGAAAGCTATTTGATAGTGTTGCTCAGCTGGAATTTGAAAAAGGGCCTAACGGGGAGATCACCAAAACGGCAATTGGAATGTACTCTAGGGAAGACGAATATGTGCAGTTTGTCGAGCCCTGTGAATGTACTGGTCCAGTTGAAGTGTGGCTGAACCGGTTGGTGGATATGATGAGACGAACGCTTCGACAACTTCTTGGAGAGGCTGTCTCGGCATACGAAGAGAAACCTCGTGAGCAGTGGATATTTGATTATCCTGCTCAGATCACCTTGGCTGGCACACAGATCTGGTGGACGACGGAAGTCAATGTGGCGTTTAGTCGATTGGAAGAAGGCTATGAAAATTCCCTCAAAGACTACTACAAAAAGCAAGTCAATCAACTGACTGCCTTGATCACTCTCATTCAAGGGGAGTTGACCAAATTGAGTCGTCAGATGATTATGACAGTGTGTACGCTCGATGTCCATGCTCGTGATATCGTTGCAAAGCTCATTTCCGAGAAGGCGGACAGTGCGCAAGTGTTCTCATGGCAGTCACAACTACGTCTCCGATGGGATGAAGATCAGAACGATTGTTTGATCAACATTTGTGATGCCATGTTCCGCTACAACTACGAGTACCTTGGCAATACGCCTCGTCTCGTTGTCACATCGCTCACAGATCGTTGTTACATTACTCTCACCCAATCTCTGCACCTGATCATGGGTGGTGCGCCAGCTGGACCTGCTGTACGGGAAAAACCGAAACCACAAAAGATTTAGGAAAGGCTCTAGGTATCATGGTTTACGTCTTCAATTGTTCCGAGCAGATGGACTACAAGTCTGTCGGTAACATCTTCAAGGGTCTTGCGCAATCTGGTGCATGGGGCTGCTTCGATGAGTTCAACCGTATCTCTGTTGAGGTGCTGTCTGTCATTGCCACTCAGGTGAAATCCATTCAAGACGCCTTAAAAGCAAAGAAAAAGAGGTTCATCTTCCAGGGAGAGGAGATTGGATTGACACCCACTGTTGGTGCCTTCATTACTATGAACCCTGGATACGCTGGTCGTACCGAGCTCCCCGAGAATATCAAAGCTCTATTCCGTCCTTGCTCGATGGTAGTGCCCAACCTGGAGCTCATTATGGAAATCATGCTTATGGCTGAAGGTTTCGTGGAAGCCAGCTCCTTGGCGCGGAAGTTCAATACTCTTTACAAACTTAACAAAGAGTTGCTGTCAAAACAAGACCACTACGATTGGGGTTTGCGTGCCATCAAGTCCGTCCTTGTCGTCGCCGGTGCTTTGAAGCGTGCCGACCCTCATGTTCCTGAGGAGCATGTTCTTATGCGTGCACTACGTGATTTCAACTTGCCAAAGATTGTCTCCGATGATTTGCAGGTATTCCACGGTCTCATTGGCGATTTGTTCCCTAAGGTAGAAGTCGCACGGAAAAGAGATGAGAAGCTCGAGGACCAGATTCGAAAAGCGACACTTGAAAGCGGGCTGCAAGCAGAAGAAGTATTTGTGCTCAAAGTTGTGCAGCTGGAGGAGCTGCTAGCAGTTCGTCACTGTGTCTTTATTATCGGTAATGGTGGTACGGGCAAATCGCAAATCTGGAAGATGCTTGCGAAGACCTACGTCAACATGGGGAAGAAATGCGTGTACTCTGACCTCAACCCCAAAGCCGTCAGTACTGATGATCTTTTTGGGTGTATCAATCCTGCAACTCGTGAATGGAAGGATGGTCTATTTTCCAGCATCATGCGTGAACTGGCCTCGACCCCTGGTACAGACCCTCGATGGATGATCCTTGATGGTGACATTGACCCGAACTGGATTGAGTCTCTGAACACGGTCATGGACGACAATAAGATGTTGACCCTCGCATCTAACGAACGTATTCCTCTTAAGCCAAACATGAGGTTAATCTTCGAGATTGGCGATTTGAAGTACGCTACTCCCGCTACCGTTTCGCGTGCCGGTATCTTATACCTTAATACCACTGATCTGGGATGGAATCCTTTTGTGCAATCCTGGTTGGACAAGCGGGAAGATGCAGCCGAGAAGTCTAATCTAAGCGTGCTTTTCGATAGATACGTCAATATCTGTTTGGATGCATGTCGATCGGGACGGTTCAAGATGGCCAGTGTCGAGGAGTTTTCCATGGTCGTGACACTCTGCAATCTCCTGGAAGGGCTGTTGACACCGCAGAACACTCCGAAAGGGTGCGATAAGGAATGGTTTGAGATATACTTTGTCTTTGCCGCAGTTTGGGCGTTTGGGGGTTGTGTTTTCCAAGATCAGATGGTGGATTATCGTGTGGAGTTCAGCAAATGGTGGAATTCGGAATTCAAAACTGTAAAGTTCCCAGTGCAAGGGACGGTCTTTGACTACTATGTGGAAACCGAAACAAAACGCTTCGTTCCGTGGACGGATCGCGTCCCGACCTACCAGTATGACCCGGAAATGCCTCTTAGTGCAGTTTTGGTGCACACCCCAGAAACAACCCGCCTACGGTACATGCTAGATGTCCTGGCCGATAACGGTAAACCGGTACTTCTGGTCGGAAACGCCGGATGCGGAAAGACGGTGTTAATGCAAGACAAGTTGTACTCGTACGGCGAAGACAGGTTGATTGTAAACGTACCCTTCAACTTTTATACCACAGCTTGGTCCTTGCAAGCCATTCTCGAAAAACCACTTGAAAAGAAGGCTGGTAGAAACTACGGACCGCCTGGAACCAAGAAGCTTATCTATTTCCTGGATGACCTGAACATGCCAGAGGTTGACAAGTACGGCACTGCATCTCCACATACACTGCTCCGCCAATATCTTGACTACAAACACTGGTACGATCGTAGCAAGCTAACACTGAAGGAAATTCACAATTGTCAGTATGTTGCCTGCATGAACCCGACAGCCGGTAGCTTCACCATAAACGGACGTCTGCAGAGGCACTTTGCGACGTTTGCCGTCAACTTCCCTGGCGTTGATTCATTGCAGAGCATTTACTTGCAGATTTTAACAGGCCATCTTAAAGGTTTCCCCAATAATATTCAAAGGCTGAGCGAGAAACTGGTAGCGGCTGCTCTTCTACTTCACAAGAAGGTGGCAGCCACATTCCTTCCGACCGCCGTCAAATTCCACTACATTTTCAATCTCCGAGATCTGAGCAACATTTTTCAAGGCTTGCTTTTCGCGAGCAAGGACACGCTCCGCGAGCCAATTGACCTTATTCGCCTCTTCCTACACGAGACAATGAGGACATACGGTGATAAAATGGACGAAACGGACAGGTCTCAACTCCAAAAATTCCAGCAAGAAGTTGTGAAGAAGACGTTTGATGACATGGATCAAAATGCGATTAATGCAGAGCCTGTCATCTTTACCCACTTTGCCAGTGGAATTGGTGACCCGAAATATGGTCAAATCAAGGAATGGAGTGCATTGAAGAAGCTGTTGGACGAAGCTCAAATGCAGTATGATGAAGTGAATGCTGCTCAAAACTTGGTGCTTTTCGAAGATGCGATGAGTCATGTATGCCGAATCAACCGAATACTAGAGTCTCCTCGTGGAAATGCTCTTTTGGTCGGTGTTGGAGGTAGTGGAAAACAGTCACTTGCACGCTTGGCTGCATTCATCAGCCAGATGGAGGTCTTCCAGATTACCCTGAAGAAAGGGTACTCCGTAACGGACTTGAAGACTGATCTTGCAGGACTGTATAACAAGACTGGAATAAAGAAGCTACAGATCATGTTCTTGTTGACAGATTCCCAAATCGCTGATGAGAAATTTTTGGTCCTCATCAACGATATGCTGGCAAGCGGTAACATCCCCGGACTATTCCCAGATGATGAAGTGGAAACGATTATCAACGCCATGAGGAATGAAGCAAAGGCTCAGGGACTGGTCGATACCCGGGAGGTGTGCTGGGATTTGTTCATTAGACTGGTCCGAAGGAACTTGAAAGTGGTCCTTTGTTTCTCGCCGGTCGGCAACACCCTACGCTCTCGGTGTCGGAAGTTCCCTGCCATTGTTAATTGTACGATGATTGACTGGTTCCATGAGTGGCCAGAGGAAGCTCTTCAGTCTGTCGCGACTCGGTTCATTGCGACAAGTGACCTTGTTCCGGATGATCTCAAAAACTCTGTGACGAGGTTTATGGCATACGCTCACCAGAGCGTAAACACTGTTTCTAGAAAGTACTTGATTAATGAAAAGCGGTACAACTACACGACACCAAAATCCTTCTTAGCGCTGATTTCTCTGTACAAGGAGATGTTAGAGCACAAGGCGCGGGCATTGACTAAAAGTATGGAGCGGTTAGAGAATGGGTTGACCAAGTTGCAGAGTACGGCGGCCCAAGTGGACGACTTGAAAGCCAAACTTGCCTCTCAAGAAGTTGAATTGAAAGCCAAGAACGAAGAAGCTGAACGCTTGATTGAAAGGGTTGGCATTGATACAGAGAAAGTGAATAAAGAAAAAGCCATTGCCGCACAGGAAGAGAAGAAAGTTGATGCTATTACCAAGGAGGTGCAAGAAAAACAGGCAGATGCTGAGAAAGATTTAGCTGCCGCTGAACCGGCGCTAGCTGCCGCTGCGGGTGCCTTGGATACTCTAAACAAAGCGAACTTGACGGAATTGAAGTCCTTTGGTTCTCCTTCACAGGAGGTCGTAAACGTAGCAGCAGCCGTCATGGTCCTGCTGAGTCCTCCCGGGAAGATTGCAAAAGATCGGAGTTGGAAAGCCTCAAAGAACATGATGGCAAAGGTCGACGCTTTCTTAGACAATTTGATCAACTTTGACAAAGAAAACATCGATTCCTCCAATCTGGAAGCACTAGCTCCTTACCTTTCTGACCCCAACTTCAACGAAGACTTTATGAAGTCTAAGTCTATTGCAGCAGCTGGTCTCTGCTCTTGGGTCGTCAATATTGTCAACTATTACCATGTGTACCGAGATGTAGAACCCAAGCGTAAGGCGCTTGAGGCGGCAAATGAAACCCTTAAAGAGTCTCAAGCGCGTCTGGCAGAAATTCAAAGCAAAATCGCCGAGTTGGATCGGAACTTGGCGGAATTGACAGCGCAGTTTGAGAAGGCCACGGCCGACAAATTGAAGTGTGAAGAGGAAGCCCGAGCGACCCAAGAAACGATCGTTCTGGCCAACCGATTGGTTGGTGGTTTAGCATCTGAGAATGTGCGTTGGAATGAAGCTGTTGCAAAGTTCAAGGAGCAAGAGAAGACGCTAGCCGGTGATGTTTTAATGTCTGCCGCGTTTGTGTCCTATGTGGGATGCTTTAGCAAAAGATATCGCGAGGAGCTACTGCAAGACTATTGGTTCAAATTCCTCAAGGATGAATCCAACCCGTACAGAATCTCACTTTCTGAAGGACTTGACCCCTTGGATATTCTGACGTCGAGTGCGGAAATTGCCAAGTGGAACAACGAAGGACTGCCGAATGACCGAGTCTCTGTCGAAAACGCGACGATGGTCACTAGTTGCAAACGATGGCCACTTATCATTGATCCTCAGTTACAAGGTGTTACCTGGATCAAGACTCGCGAGGGTCCTGGACTAAAAGTCGTTCGCTTAGGCCAGAGGGGATACCTTGATGCTATTGAGAAGGCTGTTTCATCTGGAGACACAGTCCTCATAGAAGATATTCAGGAGAGCATCGATCCAGTGCTTAATCCCTTGCTGGGTCGTGAGACTATCAAAAAGGGGCGGTATATTAAGATGGGAGACAAGGAAGTTGAATATGACCCTAAATTCAAGCTCATTCTTCAAACCCGTCTTCCAAATCCCCATTACCCACCGGAGATTCAAGCCCAGACGACTCTTATCAATTTCACGGTCACATTAGCTGGTCTTGAAGACCAGTTGCTAGCTGATGTGGTCAACGTCGAGCGACCAGATTTGGAGAAAACAAAAGCTGAGCTAACCAAGCAACAGAATGAGTTCAAGATCAAATTAACTGAGCTTGAAGATGCATTGCTATCTCGATTGTCTGCGGCACAGGGTAACTTCCTTGGGGACACTGCCTTGGTTGAGAACCTTGAGATTACAAAGAGCACTGCTACAGATATTGAGCAGAAGGTTGAAGAGGCCAAAAAGACGGAAAAGAAGATTAACGAAACTCGTGAGCTGTACCGTCCTGTGGCTGGCCGTTCATCCCTACTCTACTTTTTACTTAACGATTTGTGGCAAATTCATCCGATGTACCAGTATTCGCTCAACGCATACAAGGTGGTTTTCCAAAATGCTATTTTCCGGGCTGATAAGAGCGACGACATTAAAGAACGTGTCAACTCTTTGATTGACTCTATTACCCATATGGTGTTTATTTACACCACGAGAGGATTGTTCGAGAGGGATAAGCTTATTTTCCTGGCGCAGATGACTTTCCAAATCCTCATCAGTCAAGGCGACATGGATCTTCCTGAGTTGGATTTCCTTTTACGCGGTCCTCGTGCTGTGAACGTGAAAAGCCCATTTGACTGGCTGAGCGATAGCTCATGGGGAATGGTCAAGGCTGTGTCCAACATGGAGGTATTCAAATCTTTGTCGTCAGATATTGAGGGCGGATCGAAACAATGGAAGAAGTATTGTGAGCTGGAGGTACCTGAAAACGAAAAACTGCCGCAAGAATGGAAGAACAAAACTCCACTGCAAAAGCTCTGCATTCTTCGTTGTTTGCGACCAGATCGAATGACGTATGCGGTTCGGAATTTCATTTCTCAAAAGATGGGATCAAAGTACATTAACACTTCCCGGGTGCCGCTTCCACGGTCTTTCGAAGAATCTGGCCCTGCCACACCCATCTTCTTCATCCTCTCACCTGGTGTCGATCCCGTCAAAGAAGTAGAAGCCCTTGGACGTACACTTGGAGTTGCAGAAGACAATGGAAACTACCACTATGTGTCTCTCGGTCAAGGACAAGAAGTGATTGCTGAACAGAAGTTGGACTTGGCCTACAAACAGGGTGGATGGGTCATGTTGGAAAACATTCATTTGGTAGCAAAGTGGCTACCCGTTTTGGAGAAGAAGCTCGAGGCACTGTCAACTGGATCTCATCCCGATTTCAGGGTATTCCTGTCTGCTGAGCCAGCCGGCGACCCCGCCTATCACATTATCCCGACCGCCATTCTCCAAGCTTCCATCAAGATTACCAACGAGCCTCCAACAGGAATGCAAGCTAACATCCACAGAGCTCTCGACAATTTCACACAAGAGTCTTTGGAACGATGCTCTAAGGATGCAGAATTCCGAGGCATTCTTTTTGCTCTTTGCTACTTCCACGCTGCTATCCTTGAACGACGAAAGTTTGGTACACAAGGATGGAACCGACCTTATCCCTTCAGCACGGGTGATCTGACCATCTCAGTCGACGTGTTATATAACTATCTCGAGACTTTTGCAAAAGTTCCATGGACGGATCTTCGGTACATGTTTGGAGACATCATGTACGGTGGGCACATTTCAGATGACTGGGACCGACGACTTTGCTCTGCGTATCTGGATGTATATATTCAGCCTGATATGTTTGAAGGCAGTTTCGAGCTTGCACCTGGATTCCTCATGCCACCGACGTCGGATCATAAAGATTACCATCGCTACATTGATGAGAACCTGCCATCCGAGAGTCCTTACCTGTACGGTCTGCATCCAAACGCCGAAATTGGTGTGTTGACGAAAAGTGCCGATACCTTGTTCCGTACGATCCTGGAAATGCAACCTCGTGACACATCTGGTGGTTCGGCGACAAGCAAGGAAGAAAAAGTAGGCCAAGTCATCGAGGATATCCTTGGCTCACTTCCAGATCCATTCAACGTAGCGGAGCTCATGGCGAAGGTGGAAGAGCGCACACCATATATTTCGGTAGCTCTTCAAGAGTGCGATCGAATGTCATGCTTACCACCGAAATTCGACGGTCCATTCGTGAACTCCACTTGGTCTCAAGGGTGATCTGACAATCACTGAAAATATGGAAGCCCTAATGAACTCTCTGTTCATGAATGCTGTCCATGTATCATGGGATAAGCTAGCATATCAGTCCCTTCAAGGCTTGGCGGCATGGTACGCTGATCTTCTCCAGCGTATCAAAGAACTCGAGAGCTGGGTGTCAGAATTCCAGCTACCATCCGTAGTATGGCTCTCTGGTCTCTTCAACCCACAATCTTTCCTAACCGCCATCATGCAAACCACCGCACGGAAGAACGAATGGCCGCTGGACCGAATGATTCTCTCTGTGGACGTGACCAAAAAGTCTAAAGAAGAGTTCTCTGGTGCACCTCGGGAGGGTGCCTATATCCATGGACTCTTTATGGAAGGAGCTCGATGGGACACGAACACTGGACTGATCCAGGAGAGTTTGCTGAAAGAGCTTACGCCTGCTATGCCGGTTATATACATCAAGGCAATCCCCATTGACAAGAAGGACACGAAAGGAGTATATGAATGTCCTGTGTATAGGACAAGGCAAAGAGGGCCAACGTTCATTTGGACGTTCAACCTCAAGACAAAGGAAAGACCACAGAAATGGATCTTGGGCGGAGTTTGCTTGTTGTGTGGCCCAGATTAGTGGTGTTAGTTTGCTCGCTTGGAAGTCGTTGGGTGGAGAGGTCTGTGATAAACAGGGTGATGCTTGTGGATTGTACATAGCCGAAAGGACATAGGATGTTTGATTTCTGATAATATACTACAGGGTATTATAAATATGGCCACGGGATGGTAGTTCCACTGGAAGTATCTCGTTCAATCATATCTCTCTGTAATCTGTTGGTAATCATATAGCAAATTGGCGAAGACCGGATGGCATCCCAAATTGATCCCTACCACTATCGACCGATCACTAGTAACTTAAACACTCGCAGATCGGGAACAATCAGAAAGTCATCCATATTTTCAATCATTTTAAATCCAGTCATAACAGTCAATGTGGCAGCACCGTCCTTGAAATGACCACATTTGCACGGTGCCATCGAAATTAACGTTAGTTGGAAACACGACGTGATAATATCACTTTTGACCCTGAAAAATCATCCAGCCGCATCTGTATCAAAGCATCGCATTTCTGATATTATACATGCGGCGAGACTACAGTACCGTATGACTCGAATCCACTTTGACCAGGCTTTGTTACTAGCAGGAAATAAGGGGGAAACGGTGCGCCTGTGACAGCAGATCCTTTGACGCTTCAGGCATGAATGACCGGAGTCTGTTATTCAGCGGTAACGAAAATTACTTTGGAAATGGTGAGGGTGTCCGATATGGATGGTTTCGGGCGAGGAACCGGTCCAGCGGGATTCAGGAAGCGACCACGGCATGAGAGGGTAAACCGAAGTTACTGCAGATTTGCTTGAAGTATCCTGTCAATTGCATCAGTACAGAAACAATCTTCAATCATTGTGTATGGGACGACAGGACGATGGTCATCAAACTACGGTCTAAATGTCTTCGAATGGCAATCTGGCTGATCCTGATGGCCAATTGTTTTGCAGCGACATATGGAACGACGACTACAATTACCATCCCATCCGGTACCGCAATCCGGGGCAGAGCAAATCAACAAGGCACGTTCGACTTTCTCGGAATTCGCTTTGCTGTCGCCCAGAGATGGGAACCAGCCGTTCTCCTCAACAATGCAACAACGATCGATGCCTTCAACCTACGAGAAAGTTGCCCACAGATTTGTCAAACGGTTCTGTGTCCTGATCGTATCTCTGAGGACTGTCTGTTTATGAATGTGTTCACTCCGATAGATGATCCATCCCAGTTTGCGGTGGGCGGTTTGCCTGTGCTTGTGTTCTTTCATGGCGGATCATTTGAGATTGGAGGTGCCGGAATGGGCGTTTATGATGCCTCCGAACTTGCTAAAGCTTTAAATGTTATCGTTGTATCGTTCAACTACCGGCTGGGAGTTTTTGGGTTCTTTGATATGACTGGTGTAGATCCTACGCTTCCATCGACTTATCCGAGAAACTTTGGCATTCTGGATCAACGGCTTGCTCTCCAATGGGTATCCATCAATATTGCAGCATTTGGTGGTAATTCAAGCGATTTGACACTTATGGGTCAATCCGCCGGAGCGCAATCTATTCTCATTCACCGATCGCACCCTTCTACTCGACATTTCGCCTCCAAGATGATTCTAATGAGTCCACCAGCTCTGGCCTTGTCATCAACAAGACAAGCTCAAATAGATGCACAGAAGGTTGCTGGCCGGCTTGGCTGTGCCAATCGAACGTGCTTGCAGGAGGCTTCGATGCGCGAGGTTTTGAACGCAAAGGATGGGCATGTGCAGGAGGAAGAGAAGAGAATGTCGGACATCGCGTTCAAGACGATGCCACCCATTATAGATGGTGTAGACGTTATAGCGAATCCATTTGAGATATTGAGCCAAGAGGTGCATATGATTGGAGTTAAGGCCATCGTAAGTAAATGATGCATGGCCAAAGTCCATATCTGTTTTAGATCATGGGTGTCTCAATCTCACCCCATCATCTGTAGATTGGAGGGGTATCCAACGAAACATACCTATTCCTCGAGCAGGGCCTTTCCGGTGACCTCAGTACACCTCTCTTTAACGTCATTGTGTAAGCCTGACCGGGTTCGTGTGGTTTATCACAACCATAAAACTCATCAAAATTATGCCGCCTACGTATCCAGAAATGCCCTTTATGCACCCAATGATGGCGAATGTCAACATATGTACGGTGGAGATTCTGAAGACTTCCTTGCCAACAGGAAACCGATTCTAACTCGAATGACGACCGATTGGGTGTTTTTATGTCCCCAGAGGCAGTCAGTGCGGTCAAGTGCAGCGGAGGTTTGGTCGTACGTCTTTGAGGCGCCTTGGTTGGGTGGACCGGAGGATGCACTGGGCAACATCTGTAAAGATATGGCCTGTCATACGACGGATTTGTCGTTTGTGATGAAAATGCCAGACGATGGTACGTTTGCTGTAGGTTTGTTGCTACGGCATCTTATGGTTCTGAAGCAGTGCCATTTTCTTCTTCACAAAGCCCCTTCCAAACAAGTGACAACTGCCCTTCGAGATTACATTCGGGTCTTTATTACCGGCACGAATACAACGTCTGATCTCCCCATCTGGCTCCAATCAACCAGTAACACCACAGCCTTCCCCATCCTCCGATTTCCAAACCCCTCCACCCAAACCTCAGGCAATTATACTCCATTATCGGAGGCCAGTCATCCCCTTTCCTCCTATTGCGATTTCTGGGACACCCAAGGATACGAGTATGCTCCCATCTATTCCATGACTGGCATAACCGAGGCGAAAGCTCAGGCTTCGGCACTGAGTGCGGCGGAGCTCTCTGTCGCCCTTGGTTTAATTGGTTGCATAGTGCTTTGGGAACTTGGTCTCCTTCTTGGTGGTTTAATACTACGACAACGATTGTACGGCATTTTCGCTGCGGTATACAAAAGTGAAACAGAGATGAGCAAGGCGATGCAATTGGGAAATGCGGAGGCCATGTCAAAATATAAGACTATGAGCCAAGAGGAGAGACCTAAACCTGTCGTCTTGGAGTGTAGGAATTTGACTTACCGCGCTGGAGATGTGCCCGAAGGAAAACGTTTGTTGGATTCGGTTTCTTTCAAATGTGAACCTGGGACTGTGACTGCTATCATGGGCCCTAGTGGTGCGGGAAAGACGACGCTGCTTTCTTTGGTGTGTGACGTGAACACGTCGCCTTTCCTGTTACCAGATTCGCATGTTAATGCTTGACTTTTGTAACAGTTGAACCGCCGTTTAATGGCAACCACGACTCAGGACAAAATATATCTGGCCGGAAAACCTCTTGCGGAGTTCAACGCAACCACTTTCCGTTCAATGACAGGATTTGTTGCACAACACGATGCACCGTACTACGGTTTAACTGTTCGTGAAGTGATGATGTTCAATGCGATGCTAGAGGTATTCCAGCGACTTCTCCATCATATCGAGATGTTCCTTGACTGAAGCTCTATATTGCCGCTGCTTAGTTACCAACAACAAAAACGCACCAGGATAGAGTCCGTCGCATCAATCGCCTCCTCGATCTTTTGAATCTTGCGCCCTGCGCTGATGTCTTGATTCAGCGTCCAGAAAGTAATAAGGGAGGTATATCCGGAGGCCAGATGAGGAGGCTGTCAATAGCTGTGGCTTTGTTGAGGAGGCCCAGTATCTTGTTTTTAGATGAGCCTACCTCAGGATTAGGTGGGCGATCTTTCATTGGTGTCAGTGAAGGGCTTTGTTTGACTAATGTTGGTTAATTCAGATGCGAAATCGTCCCTTGACGTCGGCAATGCCCTCTCGCAACTTGCTTTACAAGGCTACACAGTAATCTGCTCTATCCACCAACCCCGTACCGAGATGTTCCAACTTTTCTCTCAAGTCACCGTCCTCACATACGGTCGTCTTCTCTTTTCCGGATCGCCAAACGAGTCCGTTGCCCACTTTACCAAGTTGCGAAACGCACTCGCTACGCGCAATACTTCATCAGGATGTCTTCGTACGGCAGAGGAAGATGAAAAGGAAGATGCAGTGACCAATCCGGCAGATTTGATTCTAGATGTTGCAGGCGCGATTGCACTCCGTGACGCTGCATGGGCTTGTGCGCAGTGGAACTTGGACGGTGCTGGTGATGTGGAGGCACATATAGATGATCCTGTTGATGCTGACGCAGGGACGGGCATTGCTACGGGCCCAGATGCAGTGCTTGGCGAGAGAGGTCAAGGCACGAGTGCTTTTTTTACAACCGAACTCGGGTCAGGCTCGTTAATCCCCCTCCGTCGCCCAGACTCTATGGACAGACTCGAGAGTGGAACAGCCCGCCTAACCAAAACTGTGCACACTATAATCCCGACAACTACAATAGCACCGTCTCTCTCCGTGGAGGCAGTTCAAATATCTACAGGAAAAACCTGGAAGAAACGGCGGGACCCGCACCGACCGGGCGCATTTAAGCAGATGCTGATTCTTACTTCCAGGTGGTGGTTGACAAAGCCGGTGCCGCGTAAATTGAATATGACGATTATATCTGGATGTGGAGTATGGATATTGGCTTTATTGCAGAGACGGCCTGGCGATGATGCTTTGTCGATTGTCCTACAGACCAAAGGGTTGGCTTTGGGTACGCTTTCTCTTGTGCATTCTTTACTCAGATGTCCTTTGATTCTGACTTTTATTTTACAGCCTGCGTGGGTCTCCCTGCCTTGAAAAACATTCACATCTCCTTCGACTACTATGAAGACCGGGATATCTACAACTACGACTCTCAAAATGGCACCGTCGATCCCCTTTCCTTCTTTCTCCATCGTCTAATTTACGAAACTGCTATGGCAACTGTCGAAGGTTTCCTCGCCGTCATATCTGCATACTTCTTACTGGGGTGCAATCCAGATTCCCTCCGAATTGGGACAGCCATGACACTCTTTGTCGTCTATTACAACTGCACAACAACGCTATTCACACTTGTTTATTGCACCAGACTGGGAAGACCTGAAGCGCGGAGTATTGCCTTCTTTTCGCAGGCGGTATTGGCCATTGCCAGTGGGATATGGATCAAGAAGGGGGACACGAGCGTCTATGATGTGATTGCTTGGTTTCAATATTTGAATCCCACCTATTGGGCTCTGTCAGCTCTGATTCGGACCAATGCTGTGGGTCTTGGAGAGTGCTTGCTAGAGAAGGATGGAGTATGTCAGGCAAACCTTGGAGATGTTATCGCGGAGGAAGCACGAACCGAAAATGTGTCCCCTGCAAATGGTCTCTTGGCACTCTTTATCATCTGGCTCGTAATGCGATTCCTCCAATTCTTGTTTTTACTGCGAGACGCATACTGGGACGTATTTTGGAGCGCAAACAAGAGTCGGTTTGGGCCAGCTGCTTGGGTTAGAGCCAGCCAGAGAGTTTTGGACGCTGCAACCAAGAAGGAGATGGCGACACAGACGGGCGCTTCGTTGGAAGGGTTTGAGGAATTTATGCAAGGATTGGAGGAGAATGTGGAGCAAACCATGGAAGAGGCGGTAGGGAAGGTCGAAAAGAATGATGGAAAGCGGACTGATTAAGGATAAAATAGTAATCGTTACATGCGCCCCAGGCGCTGAATAATGTTGCTTGTTCTAAGATTGTTCGTGTCTATCTTATCATCTTGATGAAGTGCAATACATCGCGCTCTGAGCTTTCCTTTAACACTGTAAATATATACGACGGCAGGGGCAGGAATGATCGTCCTAGCGCTAAGAATAGCCGCAGGAAGTTTCTCAATCGCCAGTTTCTGCCATAAAACTAATTTATTGATATTAACGCCAAACAATTTGCTAATGCTATACTGTCATTCTATGAATTCCTATACCTCAACACTACAGTCCAAAAGCAAAGCAAACGGGTAGCATGATTTTAGGCTTGAGTTGGGTGAAGGATCTTAGAAAGATCTTTCTCGCTGGGTCGCTGGAAAGAAAGAGGAGAAAACATTGGAAGTCAGTATACCGCCCTCTGCAGCATTTTCTGAAAAAAAAAAAAAAATGGAACAAAAGATGTGTCAAAAATGTTACCTTGGAAAGCGAACTCCCAAGACTGTCTTGCAGCTGACTCTTGATGAGATCCTGCTGCGGTGCCTGCAATGCAGGAGCAACCGTAGAGTCTTTCATAATATTTTGCTCGATGAGTTTTTCAGGAACTGGTCGGGCAACCAGTTTATCTTTCAAGTGATCCTACATTTAAAGGAGACACCCAAGGTTATAAATAAAGCTAGGCAGCATCTGGAAATCTCATTGACACGGTCCTACCTCAATGATCTGCTTTTTCAACTGCTCCTGCACGCCTTGAATGACTCCCGACACATTATCCGGTCTCAAGATATTTCTATTAATAAGCTCGTCCTTTTGAGGACGGTGCGCAAATAGGTCTTCAAGCCCTCGGAATCGTTTCAACCCCTCCTGTTCTTCTTCTGGTTGATGAGCAAGCTTCCCAGAAGCAGGAAGAATTGAGTCGAGCTTTGGGCGGGAGAGTTCCCCACCAAAGGAGATGCTTCTGTCTCGACGGCTGGCCATGTCTGATACAGTTTGCAAAACGGTAACTGTGGAAGGCAACCTGGGGGAGTGAATATATATCTCACGAGTTTACAAGTGCAAGTCGCCACATGAGTCTTTTCCAGAAACTTAACCCTCATATTGTGCCCCAATTCCTCACCCTTTCCTCTATTCATGACGGTTCATTTCAGTGCTGAGCTCTATCATCAAAGTATGAGTTATGCTTGCTTAAAATAGCCTTTGGTTGTAAGCTGAACGTGTATTTTTGGAAATAGTTTATCCTAATGCATTAATTTTTCCAAAGTTGCTCGTCAGAAAACTTCCGATGTAGCATCATCCATGTGTTATACCGCTCCCCAATGTATGTTATACTGCTACTGCATTTCGATTGAAGTTTGTCGTCCGTAATATGCAATATCGTCAACTCTTTTTCGGGCAGGACGTGGGCCAGAGGGCCGTGCTTGCAACTCGTATCGAGGTTTTCACCGTATTTGTACTAGTATTATTTTGCCATGCGATTCAGTCTGAATCATACCTGATTTCCCAAGGATATGAGAAGCAGCGCTATGGGCGGCCTGCACTTACAAAACCCTGAGCTAGCAATGGCATACTTCCCGACCTCTTTTTTTCTTTTTCTTTCAGGGCCCCTTGTCCAGAAATTTCAAAAGAAATGATGATATCCAGCCCACCGCCCAAGTGCCCTGCCATGGACACACTCTGCCAATGGATCATCAACAGACATGCTTTTTAAAATACAAAATCCTTTGTACTCTGAAACACTGCCAAAAAAAAAAAAAGAAAAGAGATCCAGTCATTATTGCTTCTGTCCCCACATGTTTTTCAACAAAAAGAGATACGTGACCCTTCCAATAGCACAGAACACGTTGTCGCTCACTTGGTCTTTACAAGTTCCTATTTTTGACCCCCTCCTCCTCCACGTGTTGCTACAAAGCGAAATGTGACGTTCCAAATCCATAGCCAGGCGCTAATTAACAATATGAACGTGCCCCCGGAGATATAAGCAGAATTTATATCACGGTGCAAGGAGATTGGCCTGCGTGATTTGTGGGTTGCTTGGCGGATGATTGGGGCATTCCTTTTTTTTTTCTTATTTTGCTAGATATATATACTCTGCGTTGGGGAGGATCTTGTCCCTCGCCGCGCATTTATCTGTTTGGATTGAACTGTGATAAAAAAGCTGTACACGGGTGCCGACTCTCGTTCCCGCCCAAGACGAGTTGACTCCCGGCCGCATCATACCTTGGCATCGCCCAGAACGACTCGCAACTGTTGCAAAACGAACGCAATCTCATCGCCCCCTCGGAGAAACAACCCGTCATGTCCTTCCGCAACCAACTATCAGATCCTCCCAAACCACAGCTAAATCTTATACCGACCGATCTCTTCTTTACGCCCACCAGGTCAAACATTGGCTTCATCGCCAAGGTCACTATTCAAAATCCTGGTAAACGTGCCATTGGATATAAACTCAAGACGAATGCACCGGCGCGGTACTCGGTGAAGCCAGTTTTGGGCGTCTTGGTCGGTGGAGGATCTGTCGATGTTTTGGGTAAGTTTTGAGGTACTTGTTGTCATATAAAAATTCATGCAGATTCTGATGTTTATCGAATGTGTGTCAATTCCTGTTGTCAGTGAGGAGTGAATCGGAGATCCAGCTCAATGATCGGTTTCTTTTACAAACAGTACATTTGTCCGATGAGGAGACCAAAGGATTGGATGCAGCAAAGGTAAAGCACAACATATTCTCTGGGACCTCCACGCCTACCTATACTCATCCTGATTGTGGTCAGTGGCGAACCCTGGACCGCCGACGGTTAGTTGAGACCTTTATCGACTGCAAACGTGTCTCCGATCCTATACAAATCAAACACCCCTCACCCTCCACCACCACGGCATCTTCCCCTACAATTGCCTCGCCGCAACATCCATCACAATCGCTCACCAAACAGGACACCGTCCGAGTGACCCCACTGGATGTTGTAGTCTTCACATGCCTGTGCCTTGTTTTGGGCATCATGATGCCCTATCGGAGCTTGCTGGGGCTAGTAGAAATTGTCTCTTTCTAAGTGTTTGTGAACTATTCCCTAAAGTCTGATGTGAAAGGCGGTAGGAACCTTTGGCTCTGGCGTGAAAGATCTCCTAGTTTTCTTGTTTCGTGTAAATGTATTTTTTGCGCTCGTTCGCATCCTCTTGTCTTGGATGCAATTTGATTTTTACGGTAAAAAAACAGAAGCCTTCAGCAACTGAACGGTTTGCATCGTTTTCATGGTATCTCATAAAGGAAGATCTATTACTTATTTTATCGAGGCTCTAGTACATTATAGTTTCTATCATAGAAAATGAATACAAAAGAAAATAATATTCCAAACTAAAAGTCTGCTACGGATACTCAACATTCCGTGCAGCAAGAAAATTACTGACCACCTTTGGCCAAGGCACCCTCCTTACTCTTAATCACCTGCGAAACTGCCGTAACTTTGAGAATTCCAACTGGCAGCTTGGCGGGAACCCACCCCTCTTCAAAGGGCAATTTCTCCTTTGCCAGGATCGATTCGGCCACATTTACAGGTACCTGGCTATCGAACTGGTTTCCAAAGACCGTAAGCAACAATGCGGCTTCACCGTGAGCGAGGAGATCTTGCTTGACGTCAAAGACTGGAGCGGGGTTGGTGGCTTTCGACTCGGATTGGCGCAAGAACCGAGCCTTGGCTAGGGAGTCCGTGTCAAGTCGGCCGGTAGTGGGATTTTTCAAGGAAATGAGTTGATCATACAAGGTTTGGTTGAAGGAAAAGTTGTCGTGATTGGGAGAGGTGTTGAAATCATTGCGCGTAAGACTGGCATCGTGTTCGATTCCACCATGTTTCCTCAGGTCATCCAGTCCAAAGACAGTCTCGCCTTGGGCGTTTTTACGACTTGGAACGAGGAAAGGAGACGCGTAGGCCAACGAGGCTCCAAGATCGACCGCAACGCCAATTTGGCTCATTGCGTCGATGTATTGCTTTGGTGTGATATCCTTGCCGGAGCGGGGCAAAATTCCGTGATTGGCAAGGGCATTAAGAGCCGGGCAGGGTGAGCGGACGTCTGTTGGAGCCGGGGGATGCCACGCGGGTACGCTGGCGCCTTGGACGGCGGTGAGGAGAGTGAAGGCAGGTATGAGGATGGTTGTGAAATGCATTTTTGGTTGCTGTTGCAGTTAGGAATTGTTGCCTTTGCTGGGGGGTGAGGGATCTCTTGGGTCGATGCCATTTTATAACCATCGTCAACCTGCTCACCGAAATTCTTTGCGGACATTAAAAAGTCTTGCATATGCAGTCATCATAGCCCACGGAAGATACACAGAAGTTATAGGCAAAAAAATTTAAAAAGTGGCCGTTCCAGTACCGTCCTTCCACCACTCACGCACATTAAAATGACATATCACAGAAAAAAACCGCCATATTTGCATACAAGCGACGGCAAAAAGAAGGAAATCGCAACCTTGTGCAAGCTTGTCACTGACGTATTTACAGTCTACTTACTTTATTGACTAAAGTATGCAGCTTGTCTACGTCATACAGAACGAAAACCCCTGCTTACATTGCTTAAAAAAATTGGCAAGGGAAAAACGCACCCAAAAAATGCATTGAGCAAGTGCGAGGGTTGAGTTTGTCTTGAGGGCTTCTTCCAACAAGGCATTTCGGCAAAAAATCACGGCCATAGTCGTACGCTAAATGTTGCGTATCACGGTCGTTCCTTCGATTGTCCGACACGGCGTACTTCCATCGCCGCACTCCGTTCGGCAACGTTTGCGGAATCGAAACACCGCTGTTTTCATTTACCAAAGGAACTGCGTATGCCCAACCCATGCACTGAAAATCGGTTATGAAGATGACCGGAACTCTGAGTGGTTCAACCCAGCGGCAGAATGATTTCATTCCAGGATTGATTCCCATAAGAATGCATTAGTACATACATTATTATTAAATAAAAATGCTACTTCAAACCAGTTGCAATGACTTTTACCGATTGGATTTGCAGATGTCATGTGATGCTTCATCAGTTCGAGGTTCGCAAAATTCAATGATAACTTTACGCACTTCAATCAGAAAATGCATCTGAATCCGTCGGATCCTCAACAGCTCTGCATAAAAGGGGGCGCATTTGCGCACATCTTTCCCGACATGATGAGCAGTGCATTTTATGGTGAATTTAGCATTGATTTTGGTCGTGTCCCCACAGGCGGCAATGGGCGGTAATCGCGATTGTTGGCGGCGAGCGCAAAAGACTGTAACTGCTAGGAGTTTGACCAGTGTGGTTGAATGAAAGAGATTGTTTGGTGCGATTGAAGATGCTGAAAAGACGATAATGCCCTGTGAGCTGAACCTTTTAAAATGCTTACGCTACGCCCTCCGATATCCCGATCCCATAAAACACAAGTTGGAACCCGATTCCGAACGCTAGTGCTGAGGGATCTAAGCGACTCTCCTATCAACCTATTCACTGGACAAGCTGAGCAACTGGTCCGATTTCAACTATACTTCCATAGGACACAAATAATAATGAACTGCATCTTCTGTATTTTTCAGGTATTCTGTCAGCGTTGTATGCATGGGTTTACACTAGTTCTACATATATGGCCAGTAGTTAGTCTGCCGACCCCACTAGCACCATTCGAACCACTTGTGCAGTGGACAGAATCCCCAGCTCATGTGTTTAGCAAGCCTCGTTTTCCACTTTTTATCACAAAATGCTACAAATATATGATACTTATATACAAGAAAGTCTACTATGATCAGATACATTTGAACGCCTGGGAGATTTCGCAGCAGCTTTGCATCGAAGGGGGCGGATTTGAGCAGTAGAATCCGTCCATCTTGCCAGGAGTGTTCTTTTCACGAATTGATTTACAGCAGCCTTCGGTGAGAGTTTTAAGAATTGCAAGATCATCCTTTTTGTTTACGCAGGCGCAACTGGCGGCATTCGCGATTGTAGCGGTGAGCGCAAGGACTATAACTGCTAAGAGTTTGACCATCGTGGTTGAATGGAAGAGTTTGTTTGTCCTGATTGAAGATGTCGAAAAGATGGTAATGTCCTGTGAGATGAACCTTTTATACTGCATTACGCTACAGGCGTCCCGATATCCCGATCTCTGAAAGCCTTCGTTCTAACCAGTAGGTGGGTACCCGACCCCGAACGCTAGTGCTGAGGGATCTGAATTAGCTACAATTGGCTCGATCACGTCGCGCTTTGACATTTAGTGGCATTCAGAGTGGCCATCTCGTATTGGTTATTTGTCGTTCTGTTAAGCAAGCCACAGTCTCTTGGATGTCGGATACAAGTATCCCTTTTGTTCTTTATAATGACCACAAAATTCAAGCTCCCAAACTCGTTACATTGGCAAAGTATGGCTTCATATCTACAACACAGCGTACGCGACCAGGTGTTGAACGGGGACAGGGACGTTAAAAGTACTAAAGAAACACAACCAGCGTACTCGGCTTTACGCCGTCATGGAAACATGCACACAACCATTTTGCACCAGCACCTGTGCTAATTATGAAGATATACAAACAATGCACGGATACACACTTGATCCCTCCCAGCAACAACAAGAGCGTCCCTCAAGCACATCTATTGAGCGTGAGCGTACTTTGAAATCTCCCCCTCCAGCTTCGCAGGGTTGGCACCAACAATCTCGGCCTCCTTTTGACCATTCTTGTAGATGTGGAAGGTAGGCATGGCAGAAACACCAGCCTTTTCGGCAACTTCCGGTACTTCATCGACATCAATCTTGATGAAAACAGCCTTGGAGTACTTTTTGGAAAATTCTTCAAACTTGGGAGCGATCATCTTGCAAGGACCGCACCATGTGGCGTGAAAGTCTGGCAAATTTTAACAGGCAATTAGATCGAGAGCAAGTGTTATAGCGACGACATCTGAATCATGCTACGTACCAACTGTTGAGAGATAAAAGTGCATGCAAATGGACAGAGTGTGCAGGTGCGCGGGGGACCAGCTTGTTAGAACGTGCACAATGACCGACAGAATGCATGAGAATTAACATACCAATGACAATTTCATTGTCCTTGATGATCTGGTTGAATTCGTCGGCTGTGGTGACTACCTTGACCATGATGTATGTGTTTGGGTTGTGAATACGAGATGAAGATGTGGGTTGGCTGCAAGGTGGCCTTGAATTTATCCTCCCCCAAAATGCGCCCATCAATGAGTCACATATTTCCAATCAAAAGCATGGCCATGCTTAGTAAGAATAAACGCAATGATGATGAATAATCTTCAAAGTAATTTGCGATGCGGGGAGACGGGCGAGAAAAGATACCGCCGGTTGGGCGTATGAATAATACGAGTAGTACCATTATGAATCGGTTCCTCCGCCATCAAGCGAGGTGTCCTCCGCCCCGTTGGACGTTTGTAAAATCATTAAGGATCAAATGGAATGATAACGAGTACATGACTAATTGATGCAGCGAGTCGCCGTCTCTGCCAGCTGCCATGAAACTTATTCTCCAAATCTGTTCATCTGCCATAACCATCCAGCTGCTCTCCTTCCAACGCAGTCGTTGAGCTCGCCTAGATTCAAAGCCAGTTGCTTTTTCAGTCACAGTCCCAGCCGTGCAGTTGAAGTGTGACTTGACCCAAACATGAGTCACATGACGTACACGTTGTGGAGTGGTTGGCGTAATCAGAGCTTCCGTCCTTACCTTTGCAGAAATGGTGTCGGAGCAACCTTGTAGATGATGGTGCAGGCATCACTTATAAAGAGATCTGTGATAGAAAGAAGCCAAGAAAACAGCAGACAGAATTTTTTTCATTGTCTCTCACGGACGAGATCTAGCGATCCTTCCATATCAATCGTAGTGGTCTGCTTTACCTGAAACCCACAATGAAGGAATTTTACGCTCGCAAACCACCTCGAATAACCTGAACCAAAATAACGAAAAAAAAACGCAGTTGCGATATATAGCTTGAGCTCAGAAGCGTTTTGAAAACTTTGCTACCGCCTTTTTGGGATTACTATTAAGAATACAGTCATGTTTCGACTCAACGAAGCATCGAATATGGCGCCTTCCACATCCGTGAATACTTTTATGGCGAGTAAAGTTCATGATACCCGCCTTCCGCCAGAAGTTGAAGAAGGAAATGTACGTCGCATAATAAGCTGGTTTGAGAGATTTAATGCTCATTAGCTTCATTGCTCTTGGATCGCATTTTAGGTTGAGTACAAGGTAAGCTTTAGACTATTGGAAATCATATACATCGTACTAACATCTTGCTATATCTAGCTTCAGCTCATTAATCCTCCCCCTGCTCGTCTGGAACATCTCATCACCCAGCTTAAATGGCGGTAGGTCTGCCGACTGTATTAGCCCTTATTCAACATTGGATTCTAACGACGTCACGTCTACTTTCCTCTAGCCTTGCAGAAGGATATGGTGAAGCCATGTACGAAATTGGGGTCTCAGATAAGGGCACGCTTATCGGTCTAACACAAGACGACCTCGACCGTTCTGTCGCAACGCTACGCAAGATGGGAGAAGCTTTGCGTGCAGATGTGTCCATTATACGTGAGCGGGATGTAACAAGCCCCGGTGAAACGCCTGCACGCAAAGTAGCCGAGGTGCTAGTGCGAAAGTGTTTGACGGACGATCAGCATTTTCTGGAGATCAGGGTGGCCATAATCGGAGGTGCCGATGCTGGGAGTAAGTTTGAGCATACTTTTCTGAATTTACCTTTGTCTTTTGCTTCTAGCGGTTGCAACCTGACCGCATTTGTCTATCCCACCAGAGTCAACGCTCCTTGGCGTCCTGACACATAGTGAAAACGATAACGGCAGAGGAAAAGCACGCCTAAACCTCCTCCGTCATCGCCACGAAATCGAATCTGGCCGGACGTCCTCCATCTCCCACCAGATCATCGGTTTTGATCCACACGGCGCTCTCATTAACTACGCCTCCAATAATATCCAGACGTGGGCTCAAATCTGCGAAACCGCTTCAAAGATTGTAACGTTCCTCGACATGTGTGGTCATCCAAAGTATCAAAAGACAACCATCAGTGGATTGGCGGGTCATGCGCCTGATTATGCCTGCTTGATTATTGGAGCTAACACAGGCGTCTCGGACATTTCGAGAGAACATTTGGCCATTGCGGTTGTCCTCAAAGTGCCGGTCTTTGTGGTGATTACAAAAGTGGACATTGCAACTCCTCCTCAATTGAAGAGGACCGTTTCGTCTTTCTTGGCATTGTTGAAAGCCCCGGGAATGAGAAGGGTGCCGGTTGTAATACAAAATCAGGACGATTTAGTGGTCTCTGTTTCGAGCTTTTTGGATTCAAGGTTTGGCAATTTTGGCCTGTTGTTGATGTCTCCTAGCTAGTGAGCTAATTTACATTTAAATCCGCAGAGTTGTTCCAATTTTCTTGACATCGAGCGTGACAGGAGAAAACCTTTCCCTCCTCACCAATTTCTTCAACTACCTGCCCAAACCTATGAGTGACTACGATCAACTACTGGAAGAGGAGGTGGAATATCAAGTCGAAGAAATTTATTCCGTCCCAGGTATATTCTTCTCGTATATTGTCTATTTTGTACTCGATAATGCTAACCGGTGGCAATATATAAGATGTTGGATGTGTCATTGGCGGCAAACTTCTTTCAGGTCGGATCACGACGCACCCACATACGTCCCAACCTACATACTACCTTGGCCCCGACCGTGGGAGCTTCATTCCCGTTCGTATAAACTCAATCCACCGGCAACGCTGTCCTGTCAACCTCATCAAAGCTGGTCAAGCTGCGTCTTGCGCCCTTACGTTCTTGTCTGACCCAAATGCATCTGACTCGTTCCATGAGAAGGATACCGTTGCGTACAACATCACACCGCCTCCATCATTTCGACTCCGGAAAGGACAGGTTCTCCTCTCGACTCCACCTCCCCCTCCGGTATGGGAATTTGATGCCGATCTAAACGTTTTACATTGTGCTTCCACCGTCGGACCGTCCTGTCATGGTGTCATTTACGTAGGTGCTGTCCGACAGGGCGCAAAGATTGTAAGGATGGAGAATGTCGGATCGCTCAAGACTAGCGAGTCTGCCAGGGTTAGATTTAGATTTGCCTATGAACCAGAATGGGTCGTGGTTGGCAGAACTGTTTTGTTTAGGGGTGAGGGGGGATTAAAATGTGTTGGGAAAATTGCTGGCGTAATGGTGGAGAATGGGGAGGGAAGATGATGCGTTCGCCTTGAGGTTTGTTAGTTTGCTCTTTTGCATTTTTTATGCCATTGAATGCGTTGGACTTCGGGAAAACTGGCAGATTCACATAGACACTTTTGGAATTGATTCTCGCTGTATTGAATTCTAATCGCTAGCGAAATACTGAAACTGGAATCCTCTCATATTTCTACTGTAATCTATGACGAACAACTGCACTTTAAGCCTTTCGCCCACGACGGAACACTTCCCGCAAACTTTGTTCCCTCCTCTGCGCTTCCGTCCTCGAAAGGTCTTTGTAAAACTTTGAAATAGGCTTCCAAGTCTCCATAGTCACCCTTCTCTGCTTTATCAATGACCTGCTGCGCTAAATGGTTGCGAAGTATGTACTTTGGGTTGGCAGCTTTCATTCTTTGCATCCTGTCCATGTCAGCTTTTACAAGTACATCTTGCGCTTGTGAATCGAGTTCAGAGAGTAGACGTGTTCGATAGGCGTTGTACCATTCTTCTAGCGGCTCGGATAGGGGCGGTTTGGAATCTGACTGAGCGAGTGTGAATCCAGTACTGAGGGATCGGAAAAAGTGCGTATAGTCAGCTTGAAGGGTGGCGAGGTGGGCTAGGAGAGGCTTGACTAGCGTTTCGACATCTTCAGGACGGGGGGACATTAATCCCAGTTTTTTCGTCATGAGAGACATGTACTCTTCATGAAATTTGCCCGCGTAAGATTGCAAAACCTCTTTCAACTTGTCCTCTGCCCGAGATTTATCACCGTTCTCCTCGTCCACAACCAAAGGTGAAACCGCCGACGCCAATTTCGCCACATTCCACAAGCCTACTCCAGGCTGTGCATCAAAAGCATATCGCCCGGTATGGTCGCTGTGATTGCACACATACTGAGGGTCATAGGCATCCATAAATTGGAACGGACCATAGTCCAAGGTGAGACCTAGTATGGACATGTTGTCGGTGTTGAGAACACCATGGCAGAATCCAACGGATTGCCACTTTGCGATGGTCTTGGCGGTTCGGTGAGTAACTTCAGTTAACCAAGCGGAATACTTTGTTGGATGCGCGGCAAGATGAGGAAAGTGGTGTGCGATGACCCAGTCGGCAAGGAGGCGAAGATTGGGAATATCCCCTCTCGACAAAAAGAGTTCAAAATTCCCAAATCGGACCCATGTTGGTGCCAGGCGGCATACCACCGCTCCAGTCTCCTCGGTTTCCCGCTGCACACGTCGTGACGACCCAACCAACGATAATGCACGGGTTGTCGGAACGCCAAGGTGGAACATGGCCTCTGAACATAGGTACTCTCTTATCGACGAGCGCAGAACAGCGTATCCATCCGCAAACCTCGAAAAAGGTGTCAATCCAGCGCCCTTCAACTGAACTTCCCACCTTTGTTCAGCCTCTGTTGTCACTTCACCCAGACAAATCGCACGCCCATCTCCCAACTGTCCCGCCCAAGACCCAAACTGATGGCCAGCATACGCCATGGACCACGGATTCGTCCCTTCAGGCACATACCGTCCACTTACGAATCCAATAAACCTATCCTTCTCCCTCTCATCAGCCAATATAGCCTCTAGATCCAATCCCAACACCTCCCCGCATGGCTTGCTAACAGATATCAAAACAGGGTCTGGAGCGGGTTCAGGCTCAACATATGAAAAGTGGGCGGACAAGACTTGGCGTGGCGTGTGGGCGAAGGGGCTAGGTGTTCGCGCACGAGCAAATGGTTCGCCTGCTGTTCGAGCGTCAGCAATGAGATGGTGTGTGAACGAGTTTGTAAATCGAAGATCAGCCAGGCATCTCTTGAGAGTATTCATGTTGGGCGAGCTCATACCGTTTTTGCCCAAATGTCGTTGGGCGAAATGTCTTTTTGCATCAACCTCATTTTATGTCGCGCGAGGACGCAGTTGCTCGCGTGTCTGTGCTGGGAATTACTCATCAATCGAGATGGAGGCCTCTCGGGTTTGGAAATAAATCGCTTTGCCAAGAACACTCAGGATTTCTAACGAGTAAGTTCAGCAAGTTAAAGATCTTTCCAACCACACGGACGTTCAGCAAGTTGACGACGGGAAGTATCCAACTCTTTGAATGTCACTACATTGCTTTTGGCAATAGCCATTTGGTTTAGGATCGACCATTTTCAGTTTGGGAACAAAGAGTCAAAAGCGACAGCTGTTGTTAAAGGTATAGCTAACGAATAAATGCATACGTGGGTCCCGGCCCTCCCAATGAAATATACAAAAACAAGTATGAAAACAAAAATAATACAGCAGGTAACCAGTACCATCCAGAATCCCATCAGAATGTGAAAAAAAAAAAAAGAAAACTGTACAAGCGCCCCAATCTCATCCCCAAGGGTATAACAATTTTACCATCCAGTATCCGTCACAACTCTCCAAATCTACTGTCAACCTCCTTCCTCTTCACCGCCTCCAAATGACGCTTCAGTGCATCACTCCGATTGAATCTCAGTGTGCAATGATCACACCCAAATGGGCGCTCGACATTGTGCAAGCAAATAACGTGTCTTCTTAGATCGTGCTTACGAGCAAAAGAGACGTCGGGGCAGTGGGGGCATATAAAGGGTTTCTCGCCAGAGTGGCATCGAACGTGAGAATTCATATTGTATTTTCGGGTAAAGGATTTGGTGCATCCGGGTATCGGACATGTGAAGCGTTTCGGTGTCATTGTTCGTGGGCGGATACGATTGTCAGATGTAGTTTGTGGAGGTGTTAGTGGCGCTTGGAGAAGGGGATTGGCGATGCTCATTGGCATAGCGGGTGGGTCACCGACTGCGGCCAGATCTTGCAAGAGTAGGTCAATGTCTTCTGAGACGGAGGAGGTGTAGTTGCCAAAGTAGTCCCCGTCGGTCATAAAGTTTTCATGACCAAGTGACAAAAGGGGTGTATCTGCGAACTGAGACTCGGGGGTGGGGAAAACGTCCATGGGCAACGGCGTAGGATCGATAACGGGAAACGCAACAGGTTGGAGTATTGCATCGAAATCCATTATTGAACAAGGATCATCCATGTGCAGCGGCTGCTCCGCTGACCCAGCTGCAGTAGCGAGCGACCAATCGACCTCATCACAACCAATACTTCCCCACCAGGAACTTGTCCCGTTGTGCGGGTCCACAGGGAACGACTGGCGCCCATTCTCTAATGCATCAAACTCGGCCGCCAACAAATCAAACTCAGCCATCGGCTCCACAGGCAAGCAGACTTGTTCTGGCCTCTGCGGCTGTACCAGCAGCAGCTGCGGCTGTTCCTCGACCCTTGGTGGGCATTCGGCGGCTTTCCGAACTAAACGCCCACGAGCGCTGGAAATGTTGACACGCATAGTATGAGTATGTTAAAAGGCTATGACGGTGTCTAAAAGGCTTTGATGTTCTAGGAAGGCGTAAAAAAGAACGGGGACAAGAAGGAAAGCATGAAACCTAAATATTCGACGGGGACGCGGAGGCGGTGCTAATCTCCCTCCCCTCCAACTTGCAGATGGGCACAACAAGACAAAAAAAAAAAGGGAAATGGAATTCGTGTTGATAGCACGAGGGGAGAGGATCGACGGAGGGCAAGTGACCGTTCCGTTACAATATACAATTGTATTGAGTCTATCGCGCGCAAAACGAGGCGGTGCTGATACGAACGTCAAAAAACGGGAAGATATCAACCAAACGAGCGTGATGAACCGCAAACTCACAGAAAAAGGAAGCGGTAAAGCGTGATAAAAGAAACTATTTTGCCTATGCGAGACTATTCATCGCTTCCGACTTGGCTTTCTTCCCCCCCTCCTCGCCTTCCCAACTGGACTAATTTCCCCGTGTGCGTTTTCTGCGGCCGAACGCGGTCGACAAAAAAGGGCAAGTAAAATAAAAAAAGGTGTTTATCACTTGGCACACTTCTCCCGAAAAGTGATACGTACGTAAGCATTACGTAGGGGATTATGCAAGCAACTCATGTTTAGTTTATGGATAACCTGACCATTTGAA